GGTAAATTGTCTCTTGATAGTAAGGAGAGCAGACAAGAGGAAGCAACTATGGCTTGAGGCATAAAAATCCTCAGTAAACTGCTTCAAGGAAGAGAAATAATAAATCAACAAAAGGAAGTTGGGGTTAAAAAAACAAGTCAGATAAAAAAACAAAAACATTTAAGTCAAACAGAGTGACTGCTTTTTAAAATTAATGTTCTAACCCCACCCTGCTCCCCGGGCACCGCACAATTACATCCCACTGTTCCCTAAGGGGATGGGTTAAATGAAGAGGTGAATATCTCTAGTGTGAGATTCGGGCATTAGTAGCAACACATAACTTGTGGAGGCTTATAAGATACACATTAGTATTTAAATTCAGATAAACTGATATAAAATCAAGTGCTTTTTTTAATGCGGGGATGGTACTGACTTATTTCATATTTTTTATAATTTTATAAACTTCTGCTGATGCAGAGTGTTTCATCTCTGTTTCCAATTACTTCATCATGATGAGGGATTACTGCAAGTCAGTGACCCGATCCAATAGGGTCTGAAAGATAAAATAACATCACTAAAATCATGGACCAAACTAACTACTTTGATTGTTGATTATGTTTTAATGGTATTACACTCCTGGTTAATTGATCTTATAAAAATGTTTTTATACAAACTAATAGGTTTGGGAAAAATCAGCTCTGGCAGCATTTTGTGGTTCAGAAGCTGGAAGGTTTTTGAAACTCTTATCTCAAATATATCAGAATGAATTGTCTGTATTGGAGTTGAATTCACTAAATGAGTCTACATATCTGAATATTTTTTTGTATTTTTTTTTTGTATTTTATATACTCTAATAATCCCAGAGGGAAATTACTTCTCTGCATTTAACCCATCCCCTTGGGGAGCAGTGGGCTGCCATTGTGAGGCGCCCGGGGAGCAGTGTGGGGTTAAGGGTCTTGCTCAGGGACCCAGAGTGGCAGTCTGTGGGAGTGGGGGATCGAACTCACAACCTCAGGATTCAAAGCCCAATGCCCTAACCACTATCATTCAGACGTGTTATAAACTCCCTTAAATTACTTTCGTCAGTAATTGGGATTAGGATTTTGTTGAGTATATATATTAAGTGTGTGATAGAAAATATTTTTCTATGTTGTTACTCCTTCTCTAATCCGTTAATGTGAAAAAATCTCTGGTAGCTGTTTTTTATTCATTTAAAAATACATTTTAGATTATTCAATAATTTCTGGAAAAATGCTGGAATAAAACAATATTTAAACTGTATATGAATAAGAAAAATCTAAAAACCTTCCATCCTTTCTACGAACACACTGTAAAACTTATTAAATGATAAATGGCCTGTACTTATATAGAGCTTTTTCAAGTCAGAAGAATTGACAAAAACGCCTTACACTACATTCATTCATACATTCATTCGTTCATAATAGTGGCAAGCTACATGCTAGCCCCAGTTGCGCTGGTGCTCACTAACCCAGGCACCACTGGACCCTCTGACCACCATCAGTAGGAAATGGTGAGAAATATCCCACCCAAGGACTCAACGGTACTGAACCCGGAGCCTTGAACCAACAACCCTTCGGCTGCAGGACAAACTCCTGCAGCCACTAACTTGTTAGTAGTGGATGTACTCCATCAATAAAAACTCCAGTCCATCATAATCTGCTCTAAAACTCCACCATTTGGCATAATGTTCAGCTTTAAATATGCATGTCTTGTTTTTTGTTGACAAAGTGATGTCTGAGGTAAACATCCCTCTGCCCCACGCACACACACTGCCACGCTCTCACGAAACCCACTGATCCACTAACCCCGGTGGCAGCCCACTTCCAAAGAATCTCACAGCTCTCTGTCACTCATGCACTCCCACACCCACAGCGATTAGTCTGCAGAACAGTGGCAATGGGGAAGACCCCGTCAAACCATTTGAACCTCTATCAGAATGTGATAGTCAGTGTTAATAACACTTTGATCCTGTTTACTCTAATGAAAACGACAGTTTAGATTTCCCACACTTTCTTTTCTCATTAACAGGACAGCTGTTGTTGTTTTTTTTGTAATTTAAGGTTTCATTTCTTTGAGTTTCATGCTCAGATTGCAGACAGTTGAATGTTTTTATCACACTATGATCAACATTTGTCACAAACTACTGTACATATTACCACCTCACAAAAGTGAGTAATTTTCAAACATATTTGTTCATATTCTATTACATCTCTTCAAGATAAAATGCGCAGAGAAGAAATCCATGCGGATTATCTATGATAACTTAAAAAAATATATCAGCTATAAATTAAATACCCCACTTGTGATGTACTAAGTGTGATGGCTCATGAGACATACATGAGAAAGTAATAAGCCGTAACCTCCTCTAGGTATGAAGTTTTCTTCACAGCATGACATCTTGCAGAGTAGCATTGTATTAATAGCAAAATACTAAAATAAATTGTAAAATATTAAAAAAACATAAAACCAAAAATTATTCAAGCTGCTGCAGAAATAATTTACCAATAATTTCTAATTGCTTATTCTGAAGAACATGTATGCGTTTTTCTGTTCAGCTCTTTATGGAGAAACACTTAACTGACTAATGAGTCAGGCTAACTGCTGAGGAATAGGCTGCAGCTGGCTGCATAATGGATATTACCTTCCAGCTTTGTTTTACAGTAATAAGAGAGATGGATGGGGCTCATTTAGTTTCCACACTGGAGTTATCTGCATGTTTTCCTGCAAGAAATATTTTCACAGTCACATTTATTCTACATGGGAAAGGGTTAAAACATTGGCAGTGGGCAGGAACAGGTGGGGGAGGGACATCGCTTTGTTACTTAATACTACAACAGCATATTCAGACAGAAGAGAACAACCGTTGTAAAAATGTAGCTTCAGGATGCTTGTAAACGATCTGTAACTATAGTCCTGGATATGAATGCGTATTTTATTCAAATAAAACATCATAAAAAATGTTTTTAGTAATTCAGATATTAAAGTGAAACTTAATTAAAAAGTCTGAGGACTATTTTTTTATCATAAATTCTTTTCAGTGTTTGAGAGAATTGGTCGCTTACCTCCATGTTTTGAGGTAAACATTTCTAACTTTTCCTTGAGCTCGCCATGATTTAGGATTTTAAAAATGTTATATTCATTATGAATTAAAGGCAGAGGTTCATATAGAAGGATGACTTTACAGTAGTAGTAAAGAAATAAACTGGATGGAAGAAAAGAAGGAAACATGGAGGGAAGGAAGATTGGACACAATGAAGGAGAAGAGGGAGGGCACAAAGAAGGACGGAGTCACAGAAGGGAAGGAAGGGCACAAGAAAAAGAAGGTGACAAGGACAGAAGAAAGACCTTCATCCAAATCCTTTACCAGGAGGGATAACCCTGAGAAAAAACATTGTTTAAAGAAACAAAAATGTGGTTTAAAGAAAGTCCAAACTCCTAAATGGGAAGTTGAGTAAAAGAAAAAGTGTGCTATCAAGAAGGAAAACTGGGACCATGAGAGGCTTGGGCAATAAAACACAGATTTACAAGAAAAGCAGCTGGACTCAGTTCCTCAAGAGCCAAAACACACAAAGGTATCAATGACAGGCCCGACCACCATCACACCGCTCGTATTGAGCAATTCCTGAATCAGAGAGGACAGAAAAACTAGGGTACAGAGAATAAAGAGGACAGGATTGGAGCACAATGGTTTAAAGTTCTCTTTTCAGATGTAAATAACTTCTACATTTCAATTAAAAATCAGGCTATCAGACTTTGGAGGAAGAGTGAAGAGGCAGAGATCCCATTTCCCTGTCAATGATGACGTCTGCTAGTTTTTATTCAATGAGTTTTATTGCTTCCAACGTCAGCGTGGATATCATTTTAGACGGAAGATATTTCTATATTCAAAGATTTGGATCATTTTCATTTTTTCTACCAAAGCTGACAGAAGTACATCTTCAAATACACTTTTCTGCTGTAAATAAAAAAATAAAACCTGATTTTCCTTTTTTTGAGCTTTTTAATAAGAGTTTTAATAAGACACAATTAAAGAGAAGAAATCCCTCTGTTAAACTGCATAATTAAATTCAATTATTTATATAGCACCAAATCATAACGTATGTCATCCCAAGGCACTTTACAGACACAATATAACCAGATCATAAAGTCAAATTGATTCAAGGTATTCTATCTAAGGAAAACCAGTTGATTGCATCGACTCATTGACTCAAAGGCAATCCCTCATACGGTTACATGCTTAAGAAATAAATGAACCCGATTAAACTTTAGGAGCTATTTACTGGAATACATATGGATGGACAAATGCTTTTTTGTACTCATTATGCAATCAGCTGAGTTATTATAAAGCTGCCCAATGAAACAACAGAGTATCATTAATACATCAAAACGTGATGCTAATAATTTACATAAACAGAAGATGAAGCTTCAAACTCCTTTATTTCCCCAAACACCACCACTATATCTCACGCAGCTTCTCAACTACTTTGATTAGCCAAGCACTTCTATTCAAAATGGCCAGTTTACTATACAGAACTGCCTGGGTGGTAATGAGCAGCTAGGATGTAGAGTCTGAAATGGAAATAAGCTCCACAGTAGCCCCATGGTGCTCCATTATGCCAGTTTCTCTCTTGTTGAACCTTTGATGCCAATGTGAGCTAAAAAGGTGTAAAAAAAAAATAAAAAAAATCTCCCAATCAATCCAGCACCTGGTCAGGGTGAGAAACAAAATCCCCTGTGGTTTACCAACCCTTCACAGCATATATGAGTTCAAGCCTATAACGAATAAGAAACACACACATGAAGAGTGCCCCTCAGCCTCAATCATGAGGAAACAAATTAAAGCAATTATAACTGGACACAGACTGCTGACAGCAAATGCTTCCCTTTCATATGGAAACCAACATGGACAGAGAAACTCACAATCCCTTATGCGAGGCGGCAGCGCCCTCTGGTGGGCCTTTAAATGACATGACTCAGACTGTGTTCATGTGGGAACTTACCCAGCTGTAGTGAAGTGTCAGTGTGGTAATATCCGTCTGGCTGCTTCTTTTTTAACATGGAACACAAATCCAAACGCTCCACTGTCTGGTTTCCAAAAAATCTGAGCGTTAAAGAAAGATTGCAAAGGCATACGTCAGTTGTGGCGCCCACCTAAAAGCATCAATCTGTGAAAGCAACTTTTACTGGGGCTGGGTATTTTCGCCAAAGTCCTGAATCGATTCGATTTTGATTCCTAGAGTTCTAAATCGATTAATTGCGATTCGATCTGTTTTTACAACAATGAAAGTGGTTAAACTGTGTTTCAAAATACTCGTGTATTTAATTTTTTCCTGTCACATTAAACACAAAGTGCAAACTTGTAAATCGGACAGTTTAAACCTGAGATGTGAACAAAACTGTCTCAAAAGTCCAAACTTGTTTGTGAGAAGTGAAAAAGTGAAGCCTCACTCGAGCAAGCAGACGTGACACAGCGGACATGCAGGAGCTGCATTATCTTCACTGCACAAACCATATGTGCAGCATCGTCTGTAACACCTACAGGGTGTTTTCTGGTCAGCCCCCATTTGCTAATGTCTTCAGTCAACCTATTGGGTATATTTGCAGCTGTCTGGCTTAAGTATCTTGAGTGCATCTTTCCTGCTCATTTGAATGTGAATGTCACACGCGTCACTATAAAACTAATCTATCTCATTCCCTAGACATCGATTTTGCAAAAATGTAAAGGAATCGATAAAAAATCGATTACATTGATTATTTTACCCAGCCCTAACTTTTACAGTGAGGAAAATAAGTATTAGAACACCCTGCTACTTTGCAAGTTCTTCCACTTATAAATCATGGAGGGTCTGAAATTGTCATCGTAGGTGCAGGTCCACCATGACCAGTGTCTCTCCTCTGAGCATACTCTAATTGTAGACCTCATAGTAGTAGTAGTAGTAATAATAATGATAGTGCACTTTACATATTATCTCAAAGTACTTGAAATAAGAGCAAAAAAAAAGTTGAAACAATTTCAAAGGTTCAATTTACAGATTAAATAACAGTCATGAAACCTGGAAAAGCTGACTTATGTGATCAATTTACACCTGGTTATTAGATCAGCTATGTGCACTCTATGCAGTTTACTTGTGTTTATACACACGCAAACCATTAAAAATTAGGCCATAAGAGTCTAATAACAATATGAAGTTCTCAGAATCAGAAATACTTTAATAATCCCAGAGGGAAATTACTTTTGTCTAGTGTTAAGGGGGGCTAAATAACGTTTGGGTAGAATACCTTAAAGAGGCATAGTTGTTTTTATGCCCTTATTAGATTTTATATGGCAGTAACTCACACTAGTTGCATAAAAAAATTTATGCAAACTACCCGATTTTATAATGATTTTTTAATGAAGAATGTGGGTCCTAAAACTTCACAACTGCAATTTAATTATTTTGTGTTTTTTTATATATTGCCCTTAAAATCCCATGACACAAAATCAATGCCCCAATTTGTTTCTGTATTTTGTTAGAGGATAAATTAGTCACTTACTTGTTTTTGTAGTCAGAGTAAAGGTCTGGTTCCACTCGCTTTATTCCCTAATGGAGACAATAGAAATAGTTCTTAGTGAGTGAAGTTTCCATTTCATGACATATAGATCCTGTTGGTAAATAGAAAGAAAACAGGACAGTGCAGTATCTGGAAAGCGCCAGACAGGAAGACTTTCCATCCAGTGTCAACGAGGTAAAAAGGAGGGATAATAACTGTCCTTCCTATGTCACTTCTATTCTTATAGACTCATTTCCTGTCTCGGTCCTTCTGTCTCTTCTCTTTCCTTTACAAACCATTTATGATATATTTTACTGATATTACATAAAAAACAAAATTCATTTTCTTTTTTATCCCCTGCATCCTAAAAAGGATCCTACAAAGGCGAAATAAAAACTAGGGATGCACGATATAATCGGCCCCCTATCGATATCGGCCTTAAAACTGAATATCGGACATCGGCCACCCCACCGATATTTAACCTGATATTTGATCAGCTTCTGAGTTTCTAAAGTCTAAAAAAAATTTAAAAATTAAAAAATTCTTCATCTTCCTCAAAAACTTCTTTTTTACAGACTTAAAAACTTCTAAAGACGAGGGAAAAAATATTGATACATTAAAATATCCCAATATCTTCATATGCTGATATATTGCCATTTAAAAACACCATATCAATCTCTTTTACTAATGAAATATTGCTATATGTCATCGTTATGCTACGAAATCCCCCCAAAATTCACAAAATTTTGCCATATTTTTATATGTTGATATATTGACGCGGTATCCATCTATTTTACTAACAAAATCTCACAAGAATTTGCAAACTATCACGAGAGTTTGTAACAGAACGATGAAATTTCACGAGATTTTGAAAGTAAAATAGATCGATACCGCGTTTTTAAAAATCAATTTGATATCAGCATATGAAAATATATTTGAGTATATTATTTTTCAAAGTGTCAGAAATGGATAACAAAACTGCCTTTTTCAATGACTACTTATTTTTGTCCAGCTTTAACATCGGTATCGATATCGGTTATCGGCTACATGAGTTTTAAAATATCGGCATATCGGATATCGGCCAGAATCCCAATATCGTGCATCCCTAATAAAAACTTTGTTACAATGTGCAAAGTGGCATGGAAAAATAAAGATATTATTGTCAGTAAATCATTGAAAATTACTAAACAAATCCTTATCCATGAAAATAGCTTTCTAGCTTTAACAAAAGCAAAACATTAGATAGAATTAGCCTCCAAAACCACTGAAAGAAAGGTGGGAGGAAGTGAAAAAAATTAAAAGATTCAGTAGTTTTGTTTTTGTTTTTGTTTTTTTTTGTTTTTTACAAACATAAATATCAGGAATACCTGCATGGAAGAGAAATAAAAAGAGAACTGTAGGGGCAATTGTTAACCATATCAAACATTCCAAAGGTTCGAAAAAGCCACTAAGGCACTGGGGTTCGGTTTCGTACGCAGGGAAAAGATGTTGAAGATTGGAGGGTTTATTCATCCAGCTGGCAGGCAAATAATACAAATCAAACTTTTCATGATTATTAACCTACATAATTCTATCTATCTATCTATCTATCTATCTATCTATCTATCTATCTATCTATCTATCTATCTATCTATCTATCTATCTATCTATCTATCTATCTATCTATCTATCTATCTATCTATCTATCTATCTATCTATCTATCCATCCATCCATCTATCAATCCATCTATCCATCTATCCATCTATCAATCCATCCATCTATCTATCCATCTATCCCTCTAACTATCATGCTTTGTCCCAGCTGGGGTCGCAAGTGGGTGCTGATAAACTAAGAATATATTTAAATAAAACTCAAAGTCATAAAAATAAGGCATAAAAAGCTCCAACAAAAGCAAATAAATTGTTTCTGGCTCCTTCTGTCAGTGTTTGCTTATAAAGTTGCTTACCTGAAATCGTAGTTTTGACGCCCTCGACAGTTTCATGATGGTGAGGTGGGGTTCAAAGTCACGGCAGTCTCCCTGTAGGAGATCTTGCTCCTCAAAACGCCTCCGCAACAGCTCTGCAACACACGTGAAAAACATTTGCATCACTTTTCCCTCCATCAGGCTGTGCAAGATTATAGACACATATAGTACAATTGAAAGTGAACAATTTGGCTTCATGTATATAAAAAAAAAAACATATTAAAAATAGTGTTACAAAAGGTAGAAGAAAACAGGTCAATAAACAACTGACTGGTAAACAAGCCAACAAGGATAGACATACAGGGGCAGACAACACCCTTCCTCCAGCTGATGAGCTTTAATGGATACCTAGAGAGGTATTTTTAGAGGAGAAACTCTGCAGGGAGAGAAAGGTTAGTATATAATCAATAACAGCGGTGGAGAGAGCAGACAGGATGACAAGTGGGTCCAACTTGCTGCCTTATTCATTTGTTTGTTCCAGTTGCTACATGCAAACCCTGTGTAACATAAAAAAAACCCCAAAGAAAGTCTTAGAAATGCCAACTTTTCTCCATCTCAGCCACCAAGATTTACTACAAATCCAACTCACCTGCAGTGCATGCAAGTCTTCACAATGGTTATGATCATTAACTGAATTGTAAGAGAGAGTGCTTAGTTTTAGTTTGTTTCAGAATAATGCATTAATATGAGGTGTGGTTTCTGTTATTCAGTTGTACAGCATCACACCAGCAGATGCAGCCGTCTGTCCTCATCTGGGATTATTCATTCATTTTTTAAGTCTTGCTCTTGGTATGTAATTTCAATTACATAAAATAATAAAACTATAACTAAAACTAATAAAAACTCAACTGAAACCAGGCAATTAAAAAACATAAAAACAAACTAAATCTGTGAAAAAATACTAAAAATGAATGAAAACTGAAATAGATTTGAAACTAAGAAGTCAAAACTAAATAAAAATAAAAACCAAAAGAAAATTTCCAAACTCACAGGGATAAAATTTTTTCCACATTTTTGCTACAGGAATATTTGTGCTGCCAGCAATATAATGTAAATTAAATCATTTGATTTAGCCATTACTAGTTAGAATAGAATAGAATAAAATTCAACTTTATTGTCATTGCACTGTCACGAGTAAAAAGCAATGAAATGTGGTTTGCATCTATCCAGAAGTGCTATACAGGATATAAATATTATTGAAGGTGTATGTACAAGCAAAAAGTAATAGTTAGGGACTTTAAAAAGTTGTGTATAAATATAAATATGAATTGTGTCTTTTAAACTATTTGACTTACATTCAATAAATCTTATTTCAGCAGCTGATTTTAAAAAGTAAATTACTTTGAAACTTTCTGTTACTGACTTGTTTTAAAGACATACATGGAGTCAAGAGACATAAAGTGGTGAAGAAGTGTAGATCTGTGCGGAATCTAGACCTGAACTGATTACTAGTAAATCGATTTTAAAAAGAAGCGTTTTTTAAGCCACAACATGTTTACATCTAACTATTCCTATGGTTTAACATCCTTTTAATAAATAGTCCACAATAAAAAGTAACCTTTGTTAAGCTCCACCGCCTTTCCAAACCTGTTGCTGCTCACTCAGCTGGAATGAGAAGAATGCAACTAAACTTTCTGGCTTGCTTTAAACATCGCCTGACAAGCCTGAAAAGTTAAGCTGAGAAAGAGAGATAGAGTGATGGATGGTTTAAAGGTGTCACTTGTAATATGTGACCAAACAGGCAGACAGTAAAACATGGTAGAAAATATTATTGCATAAAGAGAACTATTTGAAAAAGATGTTGAAGGATTTAATGTAATGTACATGTACATGGCTGTGTAGAAAATTCATGTCACAGGTAAAATAAATATTAGTGCAATCAATGTGTTGCACTATTTTAAAATCAGTAGGATGTTTACAGTTTAAATGTTTTTTTTTTTGATACAATGAAGCTGAATTTGTACTGTCTAATCATCATATTATTATTATGTTTAAGTAAAGTTCTAATGCATGTCTCTATTTCAAGCATAAATGAGAAGGCTTTCAGAATGTGAGAAAAAAAAGGTGGTAAGATTGGATTAGTTCGTACTGACAAGTGATGATAAGATAGACGACATTGACATGAAGGTTTTCATCAAATTTGACTATCACTAAAATATTAGTAGCATTACCTAAATATGATATTCTTTAGAGGAAGCTAAAAACATAAGAGTCTTCAGTGCAACAAACATAGGGCGTTTTGTCAAGTGTTAAATACCAGTCGGAGCTGATGGACATGGATATGATCAAACACAGACTGCAGATCCTCAAGAGCCTTTGCAACAGAACCAGTACAACAATAAACACCCAAATCATCAGCATACAGACAGACAAATGCATTAGTGTTCTGATCTATAGTGTTTTAAAGATAATGAACAATGTGTGTCCTAAAACTGACTCTTGAAGGACAACACCAACATTCAAAAGGCCAGATAAGGTTCCATCCACTTCAAAATACTGCTTGCTTTGATAGATAAAGATGAGAAAATGAGAAATAATAACTATAAAACATCTTAACAATCACAAACCTTCAGTGAAAACACGTATATTACGAAGTAAAATGATATTTTAGGAGAAAATTGTTGGTTAAAGTGTGTTGGCCTAATGGTGTTACAGCGGGAATCCTCTTAAAAATGATAGCTTAATGTAGCAACAAGCAAAAAAATGAAATGTTGAAACTGTAAATATACAGTCATATGTTTATGTTAAAGGCTGCAAAAAATGAAATTGTCTAGAGAGCTGTTCTGAACGAAATTTCTTTTTGTTTACACTTGCGTAAACAAAATAACAAATAAATCTGTCTAATCTATCTAATCTAATAGAAATTTCTGACCCAAACATATATGAAAGATAAAAACAAAAACAATGAAAGCTAAGTTACAAACAGTAAACTGAGAGGTCAGTATGACCAGGTTCAGATAAATAAGGGGCTTAAATTAGTCTAATTAGGCCCCCCAAGCAGCTAGACCTTTACAGCAGAACCATCCAACTTCAGCAACGTTTAAGTAATTAACAAAGGCAGCAAACAGAAATAAACCTGACTTATGGCATCATTCTATAGTCTTCATAATGTACATTCAATAATAATAAAGACAAAACATATAATTATCAACCTTCTGACTAGTCTGAGTGTGTTGGAGAAGTGCTGATGTCTGACTCTGACCTGCAAGGCTGTCCAGTGTGTGTCTGTGTTCTCCGTCGTTCAGTCCAACAAACACTACCTCCTTCCTGAAATGACGGATTCCTGAGAAGGGCAGAACCAGGTCCCGCCCACCCAGCAGCTCAGCCACTGATGGCTCAACCTGAGCCAACACGGCAGCCGCCCTGAAAAAGGACAAAAAAAAAACATAACATACTCATCAGTATCCACAGAGGAGGCCGCCTCATAATCCTCTCTCTCCTCCTGCCTTGTTACATAATGACATAAGTTATTAGAGGCAAAATCTTCCTCATTTAGATGCTGAATGTGTATCGCTGTAAAACATGGCTTATGTGCAGTGGAAACATACTGAGCTGGATCAGCTTCAATCTGTTTCTCTCTGAGGGCAGCTTCTATTTCCCACATTGAGACAAACTGGTAGAAACTGTATCTTCCTTTATTTTATCCAGCTTTTTCAAAAAGTCTAAGTAAAATATTATGCTAATAACCCTGGAAATAAGGATGCCAAAACCTTAAAACCTAAGGGATTATTATTGCTGATCAGTAATAAAGCTTTACAGATAAGTTATGGATTATTTTGCTACTAAGTTAAAAAACACTTCTTGAAGCATCATATACTGTCAATTCTAATGAATTACATTGTCTTTCACCATTAGGATTGTTTGTGCCTTTTGAAAAAAAAATAATAATAATTAAACAGGTAGTAAACACACTTCTCGTTAAGTCCACATTTAAGTATTGCAGATATAATATTCAATATCAGATATTAAATTAACAACAAACAAGAAACAATGAAGTGAACTAGGCTTAAAAACATGAGTCTGAATGTAAGCTTTCCATATAATGCGTTTTAATTGGTAATTTAAGCTGCTGCAAAATCAAAAACCTTTTAAAAACATTTTTAAATACACAGTGAAAAATATTAATTCTATCAATCTACTACCATTTCCTGCCTCCATTTTTTGTTTGTTGATTTTCAGATCACTATGGACCAGAGGTGCACCTTTTACAGTTTTCTGGCTGATCGCCATCATGGCTGATCATCTGGCTGACCTTTAAAAATGTAACCTGCCGATTCCAATTTTAGCCAACACTGCGTTTCTTTATATAACCGACACTGTCAGATGTTAAAAGAACACAAAACACCTTTAATACTTCAATCTTATCGATCAAAGCCTTAAATAATACCTGTGAAACAATACACGCTTGTTTTAACTGCACAATGTAGTGCCTTTCAAATATAAATAGTGGTTTAGAGTACCAGCAATGGCTGAATTTGAGATAATATTGGTTTTACACGCAAGTATCAACCAATCGTCCAAAATAAAGGAAATAGGGGCTGATTTATCAGTTCACCCTCACTGAAGACATGTGGATCTCTTCAGAGTAGTCGGTAGAACAGACTCTAGCTTTCAAAGAGAATACAAAACACAAAATCATCGGCTTCATTGCTTTTCTGGAACACCCTGGATAAACTCCTGGAGTTGTCATATCAACAACAGTTTTCTAAATAAATGCGGATTCTTTAAAGTGCGGTGCATGAACTATTTTGTTTGCAAATATTCCTAAAGCTTGGAATAAATATAATTTTTCAATGAGAGTGGATTCAGTCGGTAAATCCCCAAATCTAAATCACTGAGAGGAGAAATAGACCAAAGTGAAACGTGGCAGAGCATTTCAATTGTATAAAAATCTATATGAACACAACCAGAGGTTTTGCGAAAATTTAATTGTTTTATAATGAAAATAGAAGAATATAGAAGAAAAAAAACATCTGAAAACTCAAACATTCTTCAAGAGTCAGTTTTCAGATGACATTAGAACCCTGATATTACAATATTATGCTTATAATAATAACTACGGTAAATAGTTAAGTTGCCTTGAAAATGAAAGGAAATGATTCCACTATAAATCTAAAATATAAAAAAGTTAAATCTAAAGTGATATTTTGCATTGTTAACCCCAAAGCTGTGTAAACGCTGTCATAAAGCTGGACAGATCACAGACGATGAGAGATCCCATCAAAGAACTGGAGCATGATGGCTTAAATAAACCTGAAAGGTCTCCATTTGATTAAACTTTAGAGTATTTACAACACATCCTGTGAAAAATGGTTCCACCCTTAGTCACAGATCACTCCATTTTGGAAAACACTAATATCAGTATGTGAATGCATTATTTAAAAAGTTTTTATCTCCAAAATAAAATAGGAAATCAGTATATTAATACTGTTACAGAATTAATGTATATATTGACGCAATACTGTTTAAACTTAGGGCTAAAAGCACCAAAGGATTTATTGTGTTGATTTCTGAACGTCCCTGATGGGTTCAGTTTCAGGTCCATTTCTATATCTGCTCATACCGTACAAATTGAGCTCAGTTTTCTAAAAATAGATTAATCCTGCTTTTCTTGTATGTTTATAGCTTTACATAATCCCTAAGTATTAACGAAAAACCATCTGAAAACATCCTATAATTTCTTTAACCAGGTAACCAGGGCAGTGGGGGAAACTGGAAGAGAGAAAATCTCTGATGTCAGAACAGCTTGTTTTATTCCCTAATACCAACGGAACATTTTACCAATGAGGTTGTTATAAAGATAACAGTATCCAATGATTTTTCTTTAGATGTTTCAACACTCCACACCATATTAGACTGTATTTGATAAGGTGTTGAATGACTGATGTTCATCTAAAACTTCCACTGGAGTAAATGATTCCAGTTAAGGTCAAATACTAATTTAGAGAACACAGGGTTTATACAGGAACGAGCAACTATAATTTAATGCTTTATAATGCTCTCTTAATGCTCTTAGAAATAATTTTAATGCCATCGTCAAGTACCCATGACTCTCATATATACACGGCAAATTCCTTCTTCATCTTTACCGTCGGCAGGCTGCAATTCCTCGATTTCCAGCCACTTTTGTTGAAATTATAATTTTCGCATTATCTAGCTTTTTCTCCGCCTCGAGCTTCTTTTCCGAACATACGGCTTCACGATCAACCGGAAGCAGTTCCGCACAAATATGCAAACATATCGCAATATAATATATTGCGATATATTTGCAAATATATATATCATTTAATAAGTTGTTTCTATAAAAAAATTCAAAATAAAAGCATTTTAAATGCCTAAATAATCACATTTAATGCATTTTAATGCCAATTCAGGCCTTAATTAAAAAATAATTATTTAATGACTTAACGATTTTTAATGACCCACGGAAACAGAGAAAGAAATCAGAGAAGTAATATAACTGATGCATGCTTTCATTCTTCTAATCAGGCAACTACAGCTCATTGATGGAGTGCAATGGGAAATTTTGTGCATAACTATATAATCTTCGTATTTGGCAGAAAAACTATGTGCTTTATCTTCTAATTGTATCAGTGGCCTTGGGTTTTGTATGAAGAGTGTGATTCCTCCAGAATCCTGTTATCTTGTTTCTTTTAAGTTACATGGGGTTTATTTTTCAGCCTGGTTCTTGTTCAGAGAGAACAGAGCAATTCTCTCAAGGTTATTTTTCTTTCTTCCTCCCTACATCCGTTTCTCATCAATTTCTGGAATGTACTGTGATGTGTATAAAAGGATGTCATAACTTCACATTCACTAATTCACTAGTGAGCACCATGTGTGCACTATGGCCTCTTCCCCCCATTAAAGACATTTAATCCCAGCGCTGTGTATCCTGAGCCTGTGACATCATCACTGACCCCTCACACGCCGACATGGACTGTTCTCCATGCTCCCCTTTGGGAAGAGGCTTTGCAGCATTCGATGCAGGTCCAGCAGATTCTGCAACAGCTTTTTCACCACTGCCATAAGACTGTAGAACTGTTAGAACTCTAATCAAGTCAAAAATTGAGACTCTGCATCACAATTGTACACATCATATTTGCACAACATAGCGGATTTTTATTTTTTAAATAGAATTCAACTCAGTGTTCTACTGCATTTTGCCCCATATTTATTTATTAATTTTGCACTGCTCTGAACCTTTCATATTAATGCTTTTTGCACCATGTCTCTCCAACACTGTTTACATTCTGATCACTCCTGCACTTTATAAATGGAAATGTTCAGTGTTCTGTGTTTACAAAATGACAATAAAGTTTGTCTAAGTCTCGAACGCTGGTTGCCTTCGATTAAACTGATGAAGAAAAAGATAAATCTTTTCTAAGTTTATTGAAACAGTGTCCTACTCCTCTGATAATTGTATTTCCATAACACCTGGCAAACACCAGAACTCCACTCCTTACACTGCCTACATGTTTGTTACAGGAAATCTGGTCGGAAACAATTTCTTCTGGGCCACATTTAACGTTTTCTTTCCCCTTTGGTGGTGCTTTAATTTTATACTATGCTTTGAATAGTTAATATTCTTTTTGCAAACTGCGTTATCTCTTTTTCTTTAGTTGTATTGAATGCAGCTTAACTCACTTTTAGTATGAATGGTCCTAATCAAGAAAAATGGCTCCGTCTTACCAACAAAGGTGCAGCACAGAATCAATTGTTAACAAAAACCTTGGAAATGGTGATAAAAATCTTTACTTGTATTTTTTTTACGCAATAAACAAAATCAAGCCTTTAACAACTTTTTATGGACTGAGGAAATACATTTAGGACTTTAAACAACATAATTCCTGGGATAAAATATGTATTTAGATAATAATTGACAACATTAAACCTATTTTTTTTTTTTTATCCAATGCTGACAGAAGAATATGATGTTTTATTTAAAGTTTTTCATTACAGTATTTACAGTTTGCATGACAAAGCATTCAGTTCAACACCCTGAAGTGAGTAAAAGCAAAGGTTTAAATCTTTGGTAAGTTGGTGCTAATATATGGTGTGTCTTCAACCTCAGTCTAGGGATTAATATTTGTTTTCTTTCTTTAAATAACTCCTGTCTAAATGCTTAATTACTAAATGCTAGCATGTGCTTCAATGAGAGGTTACTCACAGCTCCACTTGCTCCTGACTGGCCAGATGAGTGACCAGTAGTGTGATGTGAAGAGTCGGAACTGGGATCATAGCTTTGGCCAGGCGGGGCTCCTGCTGAATTATGCCTTCCTGGACCTCTTTGATAAGTGACTTAATCTGTCAGACACATTCGCTTTTAGTTATTCAAAGCAGAAAGACATTCATCCATTTTCTCACTCACAAAATTCACTTGGAAATCCAAGATATATCTCGTTATTAATTACATGAGAGAGGAAGTCTGAGAAAAAAGTTATAAATGCTGATATATTTAAACTACTGTTCAGTAAATAGGAGTTTGTTTCAGTATAATATGTGTATTGATTTCAAAACTAATCAAAAAAAGAGAATATACCAAGATGAGCATTTCCAATAACAGAAGAAGAGATTTTTCATAACAGTTATTCCCTTTCTGCTTATTAATTAGAAACATTTTATAAACAAAGATATATATAGAAATTCTAGCCTATATTAGGCTTTTTATACCTGAGGGTTATTAATGGGTATGGATACAAAGTAGTTTGGTCTTTGGCTCTTTTTCTTTTTCTTCTGGTCAACATCCTCCTCACTGTCCAGTCGGACCCCGCTGTCTCCTCTCTTTCTCTTTCTCTTCCTCTTCTTCTCAGCTGTCTCTAGGGTGGGGACTTTACAGGACACACAAACACTTTTGAGAACATAAGTTACATGAAACTGAAAGTAGTTTATAATCGGTAGGTCAGCTACATTAATTTACGCTGGTCATACTGACACAGTTGAAGAACATCATGAATTAGACTTACATCCAAGCTCTTTCCATGTGGTGGGGCTGGTCAGTGCAAATGGAAGCTCAGACATTAAGCTGGCCGACGCCTCGACTGATTTCAGCTTCTTCTTTATCAGCTTCATCTTTTCTCTCCTAATTTTCCTCTTTGATTTCTTTTCATTTGATTCTGTAAAAAATGGCAGATAATAAATAAATGAGAAGACGTATTTATTATTAAAATAAATCTTTATAAAGTACTGAGAGCTATTATATGTTTTTAGATTTTTTTTATAGTGGACTGATAAACCTTGATGTATTTTATTAGGATCTTATGTGATAGACACAAAATAAGTTTGATGGAAAACTAACACTGCAGTTTAACCCTGGAAACAATACTGCTGTGATGAAGCAGGGTGGTGGCAGTATTATGTTGTGGAAAGCTGGTCAGAGTTGATGGGAAGAGATGCATGATCAAAATGTATTAGATAAAAATGCGTTCAATTTAAATAACTGATGATGTCCACTTAGAGGATTTTTTTTTCAGTGTTGAAATTTTACAGCCATCAAGTCATTCATGTCCTGTTCATTGTTAAGCAGAGCCTCACTACTATCTGCTTGTAATGCCAGAGTGGAGGCATACTAGAGCAGAAAGAAGGGCTCAATTAGAATCCCTCAAATCTGTAAGGACAAGTAAGCCTAAGCGGAAGTCGGTCAGCGATCGCCATCTTAAGTATTATTCAAATAGTATTGGCAGTAAGGAAACTGGAGGTAGGAAAGGGCGCAGCAATTCATTTAGGGACATCCTGACATAGCTGAGGCTAGTAGCTATACGGTTGCTCATGATCCTTTGCGTGACAGGTTATACTGGCACAGCCAACATCATGAATCTTAGCAAAAAACATGGTCTCTTCAATGTACTCTGTGTGACGCATGCTAATGTGGAAATCTTTATATTTTGTGTTTTTTCTAATGGAGAGCTTTAGCTGCTGTTACATTTATGTAACTTCAGTTTTTTTTTTTTTTTTTGCAGTTCTTTTCCAGATTGCTGCAGGTACAGTCGCATCATCTATGCATGATTCTGTCAAGTAATGACGTTTGTAATGCTGAAGGCTGGATTCAGCCATAGCGTTCCTGTTGTTGACCCAATGAAAGGTGAAGGAATATGAGCTAGGAAAAGAAGGTAGGAGCTACCATTTCAGATATGTGGAAGAAGCAATGAATTAGTCTATGGTGTGGCCTGGGATTATTGACACTGTTTGATGTCAACAGGGATGCATTATGCACTTTATGCAATTTTGATTATTAATATAAACACTTAAGAAACATAAGTTATCACCGAAATAGCATTTATCTGTGCTGCAGAGTATAGCAGCGTCAACTTCTCTGCTGTGCTTGGAAGGCGACAATATGAGGATAGAAGAGTTACACTAAACGTTTGTGGGGTAACAGTGCTGTTGGATGCAGACGTTCGCCCTGCAACTGGAGTGAAGCCAATTCGACACTCAGCTCTGTTTTACTCTGCCGTTGTGTCCTTGGGGATGAGTCTTCACCCCAAATTGCCTACTGATGCTGGTCAAGCCTGTATGCAGCAATTTAGCTTCTGTCAGTGAGCTCCTGGGCAGCTGTGGCCACATGGAAAACCTGGCCACTTATTATTTAATGGTTAGTAGGTCAATCAACTTTAGATTAATTAATGAATTCATATTTTGCATTTCAAGTTCTGATAATAAACCAAAGTTAGACTTTATTATACCAGCACAGGTCAGGATGAGTTTTGCATTTAAGGAAGGGATCAATGTATAAAGGATCTAAAAAACAGTATTTCTTTATGAGCTGTCTAAAAATATATCTGCATCCTGACTTGAGTTGCAACCAATATACTCCCGTTACATTTTCTATGTACAAATCATAGAAATACAATATAACTCACATCAAAAACCATAATAAAAAAGAAATAAATCAAGCAAAGATCCTCTATTATGTATAAAGGCAATTAGTAAACATTGATCATGTGTCTAAATGATTTACTCACTGAACACTGCAGGGGTTTCAGCATCTGCTTTACTTCTATGGACCTCCATCACATCAACCAGATCAGTGGAAATCTTCTTATCTTGTTGCATTTCACTCTTCACTTCCACCAGGGTGTCAGCCCCACCACTGTAACCCTCCTCATCATCATCTTCACCATCAGAGGAAACCGTGTTGGCCTCCCCTCCAAAGCAGGAGCTGGCTGGTTGCATTACACTCACAGCTGGTAAACAGACCCAAGTCTGACCTGTAACCTGAAACAGACGCCGATGGTTTAATTATTTTTATTTAAGCCTCTTGAGTGTAGATTAGGCTTATTTTCTTACCTCAGATCTAAATCGCTGTACCTTCGGTTGAAAAGTATCTACTTTAATAAAACTGTTCGTAAACGATGAATGCAGCTTCCAAATTTTAACGACATTCGGTCTCTGTAAACAAACACTGCTGGACCTGTGCAAACTGAGACTCAACAGCATACGCCCGAATATCATGACAGACTAACATCTGATGTTGCTGCACAGCTACAAGCTAACCGCCGAGGGAAAGCTGTGTTTATTGGTAGTAAATATTAACAGAATTACATTTTGAATGACTCGTTTAAAAAACAACTTTTCAGACTATTTAGAAAAACACAAAACTTCAGCCACTGTGCTAGCTGATAGCCCAAACCGGATGAAGCATTTTGTAAACACGGCTAACTTCTTCTTCTCTTCTATTATGGCGGATCACAAGCAACTTTAAGGTGCATACCGCCACCTACTGTACATGAGTGTGTAGCAGCGTTACTTCACATCTATTAGATTCTATTTTTTAATTTTATATTCTTAAGATACAAAAACAATGCTTTCCTTAGTTTATGAATATCTGTTATGTTTCCTTCATTTCCTAATATTCCTTTAAGATTCCATTCATGCCCTATACTTCTAACTATTCTCTTTAATTTTTCCCTTTCGTGTTCATATAAGTTACAGTTCATCAGTATGTGTTCTACATTTTCTTTTTCACCACATTTCTCACATTTCTCACTATTTTTCCTCCCTATTAAGTAAAGCATGTCATTTAAGTAGGTATGACCTATTCTTAATCTACTAACTATTATTTCTTCTCTTCTGTTTCTTTCATTAATGTTTCGAATTCGAACTGACTTTTGCACTTCATATAATCTTCTTCCTTTCCTATCTTCGTTCCATATTTTTTGCCATTCCTCCATTTCTTTACTTTTAATAAGTGATTTCCCTTCCCCTTTTCCAAAAGGAATTGAAATCGTTATTTCCCCCTCTAAAGCCCTTTTAGCTAATTTATCTGCCTTTTCATTGCCTTTTACTCCTTCATGTGCCGGCACCCAACAAAACCAAACATCAATGCCACCCCTATATAGTCTAAATAAAATATGATGAATTTCTAATACCAAATCTTTTCTATTATTTCCTTCTCCCTTAATACTTTCCACTACTGCTTTAGAGTCTGTGCACACCACCACCCTGATTGGTCGAATCTCCTCCACCCATTGCAAGCCTAATATAACTGCCACCATTTCTGCTGTAAAATCTGATATTCTTTTGTGAATACATTTTTTAAACTCTGGGATATATATTCCTATACCCACATAACCTTTTAGATTTTTAGAACCATCTGTATAAATTTTAAGGTAATTATTATATGTAGTTCTTAAATAAATATCAGTTTTTATCCCTATTTCATTTATATTCCAATCATTTTTCATTGTATTGATTTGCAAATCTACATTAACCTCAGGTATTAGCCATGGAGGAATAACGCTAATTGGGTTAAATTGAGCTATTTCCTTGTCTTCTAGTCTATACTTTTTAATCCATTTCCTAACCATCCATCCAAATCCATTACTTTGGAACTTCACATATTCCCAACAATTTTGCAGAATAGTTGAATTCACATGATTATCTATATTACTTTTAATTTTCATCCAATATGCTAAAGCTAATTTAATTCTCCTCATTTCAAGTGGAGTTTCCCCACTTTCAATTAATAGAGCATTAATAGGTGTTGTTTTTATTGCTCCTGTACATATTCGTAAAGCCCTACACTGTAATCTTTCTATTTTTTGTAATGATGTTTTAGCTGCTGCTCCATATATAATGCTGCCATAATCTATTATTGCTCTCATTAGAGCCCTGTATATGCTTAATAATGACTGTCTATCTGCCCCCCAATTGTTTCCAGCCACAGCCTTTAATATATTAATAACTTTTTTACATTTGGTTTCTAAGTTATCTATATGTGTTTTCCATGAGTAAGAACTGTCCAACCATAAACCTAGATATTTATATTCTGTTACTCTTTCTAAAGTCTGTCCATATAATGTTATTGTTTCTATATTAATATTTCTCTTCTTTGTGACAACCATATAGCAAGATTTGGTTGCTGATAATTTGAAACCCCATTCATAAGACCATTTTTCAACTTTACTAATTGCTTTTTTAATATTTTCTACAACATGTTTAATATTTTTCCCTTTCATCCATATGGCCCCATCATCTGCATATAGTGCAGATTTTATACATTTATCAGTTTCATAGAAAATATCATTGATCATAATATTAAATAAAATTGGACTAATTACACTACCTTGTGGTATTCCATTTTCAACATTATATTCATTTGAATAGTCATTCCCAATTTTTACTCTTATTTTTCTATTTAGTAGAAAATTTGCTATCCAATTATACATTCTCCCACCTATTCCCATCTGTTTCATTTTTATAAGTAATCCTTCTTTCCATAGTGAGTCATATGCTTTTTCTATGTCAAAAAATACTATAATCATTATTTCCTTCATTTTTAAAGCTTTCTCTATGTCATTACTGACTCTAGTTAGAGCATCTATTGTTGATCTTCCAGTTCTGAATCCACATTGATATCCATTTATTAGATTATTCTTCTCAAGATAGTATCCTAATCTATTAACCATTATTTTCTCCATCCATTTACTTAAATGGGAAGTAAGAGCAATTGGTCTGTAATTATTTGGATAGGAAGGATCTTTACCTGGCTTATTAAATGGTAAAATTATTGCCCTTTTCCAACTATTTGGTATTGTTCCTTCTTTCCATATTTTATTAAATAATTCTAATATTAATTTCAGTGTTACTTCCGGAATCTGTCGAAATATAGCGTAACATAACTGGTCTTCCCCTGGAGCTGAATACCCTGTCCCTTTCAATACTGTTTTTATTTCTTTCATGGTTATATTCATATCCAATGTTGACATATATTTTTGACATTTTTCTAGTGAGTTTTTATGATTTCCAAGTTTTTGAATCATCTGCCTTCTGTGGGTATTTGTCAAGTGATCACCACTATGAACTGCCGCAAATGTCTCTCCTAATAACTCTGCCTTATCTTTATTTAAAACCAATACCTCCTGTCCTCTGACTAAGGATGGAATATTGACATTGTTCTTTTTCCCCGTCATTTTTCTAAATATTGACCACACATTCTGTAAATTAACTTCTGAACCTATTGATGAACAATAGTCTCTCCACGTTTTCTTTTTTGCATCCTTTATAGTTTTCCGAGCTTTTGCTCTTTTCCTTTTATAATCAATAAGGTTTTCGATTGTTAGATTTTTCTGTAGTATTTTAAAAGCTTTATTACGATCTTTAATAGTTTTACTGCATTCATTATTCCACCAAGGAACTACTTTCTTCTGACCTTTCACTTTTATTTTTGGTATGCTGTAATTTGCAGCATTTAGAATATTTTCTACTATTTGATTTGTACACTCTTCAATATTACCTTTTAATGTTACTATATGTCTTGTTTCTTCACATTTTGTTTTAAATTTAAACCAATCAGCTTTATTAAAGCACCATCTTATTAATGTAAACTCTTCTTGTCTATTTATATTATCATTAATTATTGTACTCACTGGAAAGTGATCACTCCCTAGTGTAGATTCCCCATTTACATCCCATTCACATGCACTAACAAGACAGTCAGATACTAATGTAATATCTAGACATGAGATTGAATTTTTATGTATATTTATTCTTGTACCTTTTCCATTATTAAGACAAACTAATGACCTTTCATCCATTAATTCTTCCACTATTTCACCATTATGATCCGTTTTCTTGCTACCCCATAGACTGTTGTGAGCATTAAAATCTCCACACCAAACTTCTCTTCTATGTATTTTCCCTATTTCCTTAAATATTTCATTATCTAGATTTTTACACGGATTATAATAATTAATGATTTTAATATTTCCTTGTTTCCTTAAATTAAATATTTCTATATTTACACATTCTATTTTTTTATTTAATGAGTTTTTCTTGTAAGCAATTCCTTCCTTAATTAAAGTGGCACATCCTCCGCCACTACCATTACTTCTATCCTGTCTTTCTATATTATATCCAGGAATTTTAAAATCCAAGTTTGAGTTTAACCATGTTTCTTGTATACATATTACATCTGGTATTACTTCTAATTCATAAATATACTTTTTAAATTCTTGTCCATTAGCTATTATACTTCTGGCATTCCATTGTAGAATATGAATGACCATCAATAAAGCTTGTATCCTAATCCTGACCATTTTCTGTTATTTCAGTGGCACTCAAAATGGTATGTATTTGATCTGCTTGAATTTCTTTCATATCTAGGAATCTCCCTGCTGCTGTTACTATTTCTTTTATTTTATCACTTTTCTTCTTCATTTGGACTGTAACATTAATAACATGACATATAAATGCTACAAAGTTTTCTTTTTTCACCATCATTGTATTTTCCTCTATTTTACATTTATGTAAACATGTATTATTTGTATTTGTTGTTGGCATTAGTATTTGTCTCTGACCATTCATTCCTTGATTTGTGTTCTGAGAAGTGTAACTTTGATCTGCTTCTCCCAGCCTCATTCCTCTTTTACTATCTTTCTTTATTCTTTTTAATGCTTCTGCGTAAGAAACTCTTTCTGTTATCTTTATTTTCTGGGCTTCTCTAGCTTCCCTTTGAACTATACATCCACCATAGGCTGCACTATGCTCACCACCACAGTTACAGCATTTGATTTTGGCGTCTTTGTCACACTTTCCAAATTCATGTGGTCCTCCACATCTTGCACATCTAATTTTTCCCTTACAATCTTTTGCAATGTGTCCCATTCTTTGGCAGGTAAAACATCTGAGCGGTTTCGGGATGTACTCTCAAACTTTATAGTTCATAAATCCTAGCTGTATATTTTCTGGCATGTTATTTTCAAACTGCAATATCACAGCCATAGTGTCTTTGAGTTCCCCTTCTCTTCTACTTTTAATCCTGGTGGCATTTGTTATTTTCCCTCCTTTGATTTCATTCTTCACCTCCTCCATTGTCATTTCAAGTGGAACTCCTGAGATTACTCCTCTCAACCTTGCCATAAAACCTGGTATATGTGATTTAACTCGTTCTCCCATCAGAGTTTTCATTTTGATTATCTTCTGTTGTTGTGCCTCACTGATAGCTTGAATTATCACTTTTCTGTTGTTCATGATTCTGGCCGTTTTGATTTTCCCTATCTCTTCCTCTATTGCTTTGGTTATCTTTATCGGATGAATATAACCCCTTTCTTGCTGAAATTCCACCACAACTTTGTATTCCACTTCTGTATTACTGTTATCTTGTTCCCGTGAACTCACTCTCTGGTTTATTTTTGTCCTTTTACTTCCTTCCGCTCCTAGCTCACTTTCATCCGACCAACTTCTTGCCCTTTCATGTCTCTTTCTGATTGCTCTTTTCATTCTTGCTGACCTCGATAACATCCACTCCATTTAATTTCCACTACTTCCTCCTGATGTAGAAGCCATGCTACTACAGTCAATGTACAGCTTATGTGATCCGCCAAATTAGCTCCTACCGCCGTCTTTGTTTGTTGAGTTCAATCACCGCCTTCTGTGTCCTTTTCCCCCCACCCACGGCTAACTTCCGGTCTTGCTTTAAATAAAAGTAAGAGTTTCAAAATAAGAGTTTTCCCTTCGAAGTAAAGGTATTAATTAGTCTGTATATGACAGACTAATTAATACCTGATTTATGTCTGTTGTATGTATGTATTTATTTTTGATTTATGTCTGTCTAGGACATTATTTCCCCAAGCAGCTGTTACATTTTTAACCACCACTGCTCCCAAAAGACGGACATTCCCACTGTGTTTTTAATTTATTGTGTAATTTGTTATGCAAAAATAAATGCAGGATTTTTACTTTGGCCTAAATAATAGCACACGATCTCTTTAATGGCTCTAAATGTTTTTTCTTGAGCCGTAAATTTGGCTCTACTCTATTTTTATCTTGTTTCTTTTTTCTTTTTTTTGTTTAACCTTTTAAAATAAGAAGGCTTTTTCAAAAGGCTGGCTGTGTCCATACGCCTCCCTTTGCCTTTTACTTTGCTGCTGGTACATCAGAATGGAATGTTGAAAGTAGGGCAATAAAAGATGTTTCTACTATTTTTAAATTAACAAACATTTTACATCTGATGTGAAAGAAAATCTGGTCAAGCTTCTAAATGGACAATCAGTAGATTCTTTTAAGTGGGAGGTTAAGCCACTGAATTTAATATACAGTACCATCTGATACTGTATACTTCTCTTCTGTATTTATCGTAATGTTGTTTGGCTAAACTGTAAATGTTAAAAGTTACTTTAGTGTGTGCAATAACTCTGACATATGCACACAGATGTAATAATTGTTTGAAGGCATAAGACACGATTAGTCAAAACAAGACAACATAAAAAGCAGGTTTGGGAAAAGTTTACTTAATGTTGTAGGGGAAATGAACAATGACAAACCTTTTTTGATACATACAGATAATTTAGGGGCTAAAGCCACAATCATATCACAATCATGTCATTAAGTATGGATACTGACAGGAAAATCTGAATCACTTAAACTGTTGGCAGTGCCCTACCTTTTGCCCTACGATTTATCTAAGGCCAAAGAGAACTAAATAAACCCCCCTTTTTATTTTGACCATCATGTTTATAGTTAGCACCGCCAGAGGGACTGTTATGGCCAGTGTTTGTGTCAGCCAAATTGTCACTTGACTGTGAATTTACCCAGCGTTTTAATAACACATTTTGTAAATCAGAGATGGCATTATCATTTTCTTTGCAGGTTATTAATCCTCTAGCTTTCTCATGGTAAAACACATTAACATGGTGCATAACAGAGTTGCATTCCCAGGTTCCCATCGTAGTAACAGGCTTCGCTTCATGAGTGTGGTGCATCAAAACCAGAATGACAGGCATATCACCTGTGAAGAACAAAAGAGAGTGAATATATCAGGACTAAAGATATATTCATACGAAGATTTTCTGTCAGAAAAACAAACAGATGCTCATTGTTTTCTCATCATTAAGGACAAAAAGATTAGTGGCAAAAATTTATTATGAAAATTATGATGTTTGAAACAACAGGTTATTTAATGTGTTTATGCTTAAATAAATAAAAACTGTTTCCCATATTTTGAAATATAAAAAAAAAGGTCAGATTGAAAACAGATAAACATATGATTCTCAGACTCAATGCAGAAGTCTAGAGAAGCTCATAGTCTTACCCGTAACCAGTTTCATGGCTGCTTCCACATCGGTCCCAACGCGTGAAACGACAGGACAGAAGACAAACGCCATCTGGCAATCCTCATTGTTCTGACTCTCTACCAACATCAGCTGCTGTGTTGAACTCCTGAGTTTATCCAGAATCTGAAGATGGGCATCAAAGGTTTTACCGCCAACCACCATCTTGAACTTCACCATCACTAAGAGAGAAGTTTAAGACATACAGTTTTAGAACTTACAGAATGTATTAAATAAATTAGAAAATAAATAAAAACTGTTTTAATTAAACTGAAATAGATTCAAGGCCAAAAAAAAAAATGCATCTTACCTTGTGCAACCTGGGAGCGACCATAACTGCTTGACCATAAGTTTGATTGTGTGGAACGAAAAAAACTTTGGTTCCCAGCCCCTGAGAATGAGTCTGTTGAATAAGTAAACATAAAAAAAAAAAAAATATATATATATATATATATACTTAGGGGAACAATAATGAAGTTTAATTTTCTTTAAAAAAGACCAGCAGGAATAATAATTAATACAAATTATAAATTATAAAGTTGGTAAAAAGTGATGGACACCTTGAGGTTTCTGTAAGGCGGTTTCATTTCTGGAAGCTGCTCGATGATCCAGCGGCTTAGCTGCAGAGCCTACAAAGCAAAGTTTCATTGTTAAATTACACAGTCTGCAGTCATGGGCTGGTGTCCGAACGTCCACCCTAACCCCTAAATCCCTCAATCACTTTATAGAGCGGGGACTATATAGGGGACTTTATGGTGAATTCAGTTAACTTACCGTTCGTACAGATTGTCACTACTTTTCGCTCCCCATTGGTCACATAACTCCGCCTCCCACCAAGGTACCTGAGCCATCTTTGTTCTTTCTCTCTGCCACAACAAATCCAATGATGTTTTGTAAGGAGAGCACTTGCAAAGCATTCTGGTATATATCTGCTTGTCTAGTGACCAGGGATGATTACTACTTTTCAAGCAGTGATCATCTACTATTCAACGTCTATAGAGGGTTTTTCACCCACTAGACGTTCGGACACTCATCTAAAATGGTCTAACCACTATAAAGTGATTAGGGCAGACGTTCGGACACAACCTATATTATTTAATTTGTGGATTTTTATGAACATGTAATCATTATAAGGAATGATAACAAAGTGGCAACTAAATACAAACCATTGGAATTTGTTCAAATAAAACATCTGTTTTTGTGAGGCAGGTTTTGTTTTTACAAAAGATACTCTATGTTGGTTGGATTACAATCCCCATTTCTATTTAAAATCTTTACATCTGAAAAAAGTGTTAACAGTCCTAAAAATCGGTATCATTTCCAGTATATCTGTTTAACAATAGCTAGATAAAAAAAAAAAAAAAGTAAAAATATGCTGTTAAAATTATTCTTATAGGCTTTATCAAAACAATGCAATCTGGACCTGGTTGATGTTTCTGCTGTGGCTGTCCTTTGATGTCCTCCAATAAACTAATGTGTGCTTCAAGAAAATGCTGCACATTGCTCAGCTGAGCATGCGTGTCCTTCAGCACATGGAGATAGTCTACCAACACCCCACCGCTGCTTAGGGCATCTGAAAAAAAGAGTACAAGGATGGCACATTCATGCTTTATGGATGATATTCTATTTCTAAATGTATTTTCTGATAAAAAACAAAAACAAATAAACACACCCTTTATGGAATCTTCAGGGATGAAACTTCTCAGATCTTGCAGGACTTTCTCAATTGGTTTCTGTATGAATCACAACAAAAAGGAAAAACAAGCCAAAGGTATATAAGTGTATGTATGCATGTATGTATGGAGTTCTTCTTGTGTTTTCATTAAATTTAAGGAAAAAGCGATCTGAAAGGGGGAAAACAATTTAAAAGTAAAATAAATAAATTAGAGAAAAATAAATTTCCAAACTCATTACAAAAACTGATGTTATTTGAGACTGAAGAAAACTTTTAAGAGAAAACATTTTGTCATGGAATACATAAAACATTTGGAAATGATTTTCAGGGGGAACAAAAACTCAAAAATGCACTTTACACTCAATTATTTTTGGCTTACAAAATGATAAATTTTTCACATAGAGACAAAAAACCTGAATCAAGAGCAAAGACAAAAAAAAAGAATTTTTAATTCATGAAAATATCTTTTAGAAAATTTAATTCTTAAATAGCATCAGGTTTTGGTATCATTGTGGATATTACTTTATATAATATATTTATCTCCCCCTTTTTTTCTTAAATTTAATAAAAACCTAAAATAACTCCATATGCAGGCACTGTACCAATGTAGCTTTGTTTAAATGCATATAGTAAAAGTGTACTTGGTCACAACACAAATGAAATAACCACCTGCTTGTTTATTTTCTCAAAGATGGACCTCCTCAGCTTCAGCTTCTCAGGTCCAGGAAAAAGCTCATTTAGATCGATTCTAGTGAGAGACTGGATCTCTGAGTCAGAGCAGAAGTTCGCCTCTGTAAAATGATTTCAATAAAGAAATTACACATTAATACATTTAACAAGGAGGAAATTGTAAAGTGAACGCTTATTGATCCCGTTCCAATGAAAGGCCCCTAGATTAATCACATAAATCTAATAAATAGCACCTACTTTCCAGTACGATCGCTGCGTTTGAATTGTACATTCGTATTTCCTTTAACAACACGCTCATGTTTTATATAAGGAGGAATAAGAAGCAGAAGGAAACTATGTCGTTTATTTTGGTTGGCTTCTCACTGTTGTTTCGGTTCTGAGTCTGTAAAAACGAAAGAGAAAAAACAAAGACGTTAAATAAATTATCTACACCTATATACCAATTAATAGTTTGAATACATTTACGTATATTTGCAACGTTTACATTATAAATAATATTAGTTAAACTGTTAACCGTTTAAGCGCAAATTAAATCATATAGGCTTGTAATCTTTGCATACTCACCGCTTCCTGTCATAGAAAGTGAAACGTATGTTGAGCTGCGTTTCTGAAGCCAGCCCATAGAGGGCGCTCTAAGCACCTGACTTTCTGGATAAATGAAACCAAAATAAACTCAGAAATGTATTATGTTTCACTCCCTAATAGTTAGTTTTTATATTTATTTATATTTATTTGAAATGTGAATCAATTTCATTCATACAGTTAGAACCTTTTATAAGAATAACCAGAAATAATTTCAAAAGAAATGTTTTTTAAGCAGTAAGCTTTTTTCCACTAATTATGGTTATTGAATTATTCAGATAGTCTCTTACTAAACCATTGTTTGATTAACAATTTAGTGGTGTAAACATACTTTAAAACATCTCTTAAAGAAATTACCCACTCAGAGCAGAAATTTACAGAACTGTACAACAGTACTATATATATATATATATATATATATATATATATATATATATATATATATATATATATATATATATATATATATATATATATATATATATATATATATATATATATATATATATATATATATATATATATATATATATATCTGCAGGTTTACTAGTGGTTCCTATAATTTTTAAAAGTAGAAAGGGAGGCAGATCCTTTAGTTATCAGGCTCCTCTCCTGTGAAACCAATTACCAGTTTTAGTCTGTGAGGCAGAAACCCTGTCTACTTTTAAGGCTAGGCATAAAACTTTCCTTTTTGTTAAAGCTTGTAGTTAGATTACCTCAGGTTATCCAGAACAATCTCTGTAGTTATGCTGCTATAGGGTTAGACTGGAGGACATAGGGACCCCTTTTTCATCATGCTGCTTCATTCTATCTCTATTCTCCCATTCAGTAGAATTTGTTAGTTCCATCTTTAATGTTATAGTCCCTCATAGTAGCTTCATCTGGTCTGTTCCTGTTTGGCTGTCACACCATCCTGAAGAGATATATCAGCTGTGCTGCTGCCATCAACACACTTGTTTATAGATGTTGAAGATTGGCCTGTTTTTCAGTGTGGTCCTGTTTCTCTGACTGTGATTAACTAGATGTGCTCTCTTCATCCGCTGACATGGGGGCCGGCTTGGAGCTCGCCTGCCTGGCTGTGTGTCTCCTGGATGGGGCTGCTTGTGGAGCTGGTTGACAGTTACCTTTTTATCTCTCCTTTTTTCTGTATCTCTGCTTCTGTCTCCTTGAACCCCAGTCGGGCTCGGCAGATGGACGCTCACACTGAGCCTGGTTCTGCTGGAGGTTTCTTCCTGTTAAAAGGGAGATTTTCCTCTCCACTGCGCTACAAGCATGCTTGCTGTGATGGATTGCCTTCCAGTCAATGAGTCGATACAATCAGATGGTTGTGCTTAGATAGAAAACTTTGAACCAATCTGACCGTATGATCTGGTTGAACTGTGTCTGTAAAGAGCTTTGAGATGATATTTGCACTGTATAAATACAATTAATAAAATATTTTTCCACAAAGATATCTTTTATATATTTATCTATGTTTTTTTTTTTGCAGAACCACTTTTGCTACGGGAGTGCTGAAACTAATATATTGAAACACTACTGTGGAAAAACAGTCACTGTACAAATAGCACTCAGTATACTAGTATATCATATGTAGATAATTTATCTAATCCATTTCAAGTAAAACATACAACTACTGTATATACATTTAAGATATTTTTATGTGAAAATTGGGAGGATAAAATATATCAATAAGAATATCAGATTGAATGCAACTGATCTACTGTAGATATATATATCTAGATTAGTTAAACTCATAGATTTAAATTTATATAAGAAATATAAAAATAATATACAGATTGTCAAGATAATAGGTTACTATATTGACAACCATCATTTGTAATCTACTTCTAAATAAAATAAAGCAACTATCAATATAATACAGGTTTTCATCTGTATTTTTCCTATTATAATATAGGTTATGAAATTAATCAAAAAGGGACAGAAGAATATAATTGATTCAATTTTTATTACCTTCCATATGCACAGCAATTCATTATTTAAGTGTTTTACACTACTTTATTTTCCAGTAAACATATAAAAGGACAAATATAGAAACCAAATGCAAATAATCACATCTAAAAAAAAACAAAATATAATATTGTGGAAATGTACCTTTAATACATTTATAAGCCGACATCCCTGAAAACAAAAAAAAAGAAATATAAATAAACATCTAATCTGCAGGCCCCCAGATACTCTTAGTATCACAGTTGCTACTACTGCTGCTGCTACTGCTGCTGCTGCCAAACAGCCTAAATCCAAACTCACTGCCCCCACTGTCCAAACGGGAGCAGCTGTCAATGCCAGGGTTATTATATTCACCAGTCACAGCCCATTTACTTCCTGGAGTACAGTATTCCAATAGTTTGTTCTGTATCTGAATCACAGCCTTGTAGTTTTCTTGACACCTCAGCAATCCATGCGCTGTCTCATGGTAGAAAATATTGACGTGCAGCACGATATTTAAGTCATCCGACCATGTCCTCCTCGTTGTCATGTGCTTGAAGTCGAGTGTGTGGTGCATCAAGACCAGAATAACAGGTTCATGTCCTGTAGAAAAAATAAAAGTTTAGTTAAAGCTCGAATCGGAGGGAAATATCTTTTATTTTTGCTTAGTGGGGATATGTTGTGCCAGCAACAGAGACATAAATAAGTCTTATGCATGTTTTATAGAGTTAAATATAGTAATAATAAACATTTCTATTTGAGGTGATACATTGAACTTCTTTCCATAATATTTGAGCATAAAGGAATAAGCAAGTAAACTATTTACATGAATTTAAATAAATTGATAGTGTAAAAACAAAACAGAAAAAAATATTTAGCTAAATAATATTGGGTGCAATGATGGTTATAATTTCTAAAATCTGAAAAGATTTATGATGCAGAAATTTTTTAAACTGATATATAAATGTCATTGTAGTTATTTCTTAATCTACAGGAAATTAAATAAATCGTTTGATCAGAAAAGATTCAAAAATAAATCACTGCTAAAATATGTTTTTTATATCATATAACTGTGTCTCATCTTAGGTTGAGCTGATATTATGTTTACCTGTTATATTAGTCATGGCTCCATCAACATCTGCCCCGGCACGTGAAGTGATAGGGCAGAATACTATGAGGACCTGGCCCTCCTGACTGCATGAAATGAGCTGAACCCGCTCCTGCATCTGAGCTTGGACCTTGGCCATCAGCTGAAGATGGGCATCAAAAGTTTTACCACTGACAACCATCTGGTACATCACTATGGTGACAGAGAAATGAATGAACATCTGGGAACAGATTCAACCATTTAGTTTACTTCACATTAAAAAACATTACATAAAGATGAGATTATAACACCAAATCAAATAAAAAATAGGTAAAAGTTGTAAAAATAGTCAGTGAGACTTAATTTATAGATATGGGATACATTCTACTTATGATTTTTTTTTTTTTTGTTGTTGCAAAATTTAGTAAAAAGTCAATCAAAGTAAAACCACATAAAAAAGAAAAAACAAAAGTTTAAGTTAATTCCACCAAAGAATAAGTTTAATGTTCTTGCATGTCTACACATGCAACAACTTCAAATTTATAAGAAAGCAATCCTGGATTATTATTAGCTTAAAGCTGCATATTATTGCTACAGATATATGGCAGACAGGCAAAAGTATGATGGGGTTAAGTCATCAGGAGTTTCTATGTGATAAAAACTGTGGGAAAGGAAAGCAATAGAAACATGTCAGACTTAAGATTTACCTTGAGCTCCATATGAATGTCCATTTGCTGGTATAATGTGAGCCCCTATTGGAGGGCTGGGAGACTTTGTGTCAGGGTTGGATAAAAGATCTGCCAGATATGAATAAAAATATTTATTTTCATTATTACTTTACTGTTTTATTTGTCTTTTTTATACACATCCTTATGTTAGATAAGAGCAAGAATGCTTTTAGTAGCGTTCTTTTAGATTAATTTGGTAGTTTTAATTTTTTTATATAAAATAGGACTTAATCTTTTAAACACAATAATGGATGCCATATTAGATACAAAGCTCAATAATCTTTTCATCATATGTCACACAAAAAATGCGGGTGGCTGCCTGTTTTTAAATAAACCTACAGTACGAGGGAGGCTTGGAAATCATAGCATTTGCAGATGAGATGAAATTGCAAACTCCTGGTGAGAGCAAAAACAAAACCTTCTATATAAGTTTAAGTCTTTAATAATCTTTTTTATTTAGACAGTTTCCTATTCTTCACCAAAATATATATTCAATATATATTCTTAAATTAGAATACTTAATTGTGTGTTCAAGTGCTGAAAGATCCCATAAATAGACATGGCATTGGGGATGCTCTTGTTGCTTTAGATGATCTTTTAAAAGAAAAACTTTTAAAAAATTTTTTTTAAAAAATTAAAAGTAAAAGTAAAGGAAAACAGATTTTTTGGAGATGTAAAAACTTTGTGAGAGTAGATTGAGATTCGAGTCTGAACTTTTTGTATAATTTAATATGAATGGTGGCACTGCAAAAACGATCTGAAAATAAGTACAAATTTTAAATCAAGTGTATTTACCCTTAATTTGAGTAGATTAATAAGATGATTTGACATTGGAATGAGTATTTTTACTCTTAATATAAGATAATTAGATAATATGCACTTGAAATAACACAATGCAATAGTTTTTTTCTTATTTTAAATGTAAACTGTCTTTTTCCATTGGCAAAGTGTCTCACTTACTTCCTCAATTCAAGAAAAAATGCACTTATTTTAAGAAAAAAATGACTTATTTATGTTACATTTTTTTTGTAGTGGGTGCGCTGATCATTTCCACCAAAATTCAAAGGTTTGCAAGGACAACACAAATTGTCCTTAAACCTCTCACTTTCATAGAAAATAAACTTCATTTAGTTTTCCAGTAAAACATAAGGCAACTCAGAATAAATGGTGATATTTTAGAGGCATGAGAACATTTGGTGACCGTCACACATAGATAGGAGTCTGTCTGGGAGCCCTTTTGGAAGCCATCAGGAACATTTACCAA